TTGGAGAGAAGCCATCGAAACCAAGTAGCAGCAATACAAAAGGTATTATTTAATGTTTGGGTAAGAACTTCATTGAGTTGTTATATTTGTGAGGAATAATGCACTAAAACGTAATATATTTGTTTTAGCTTGCTATGTATAGGGATGCTATAGGATCCTTCGGAACTAGACTTGTCAGGAATTCTCGATGGATCCAGGTTATCCCCTCGCTAATATTTTGTTCATTCATATATTTAATCTTATGAATTGTTTTTTCCCTTACAATGCTTTTTGCATTTTAATCCAGCTGAATGATGGGAGATATATGGTACTGATGCACCTCACCTAAAGAGGATAGCAATCAAGGTGCTCTCCTAGACATGTTCTGCTATTGACTGTGAGCGCAACTGGAGTACGTTCCAATGGTTGCACACTACTAGGAGGAATCGACTCGCTTCTGAGAAGCTTCATAAACTAGTCTACGTTCATTATAATATAAACCTCCGAGAGCCATAAATAAGAAGGAAGCTTGAAGACTATGGGCCGATAGACTTAGACACAATATTTGTCACAGACACAGCAGACCAATGGGTAGTAGAAGAGAATGAGCCAGTGTTGCACAAGAGAGCGTTCCTTGAGGCTATCGCTGATGAAGATCTTGAAAAAAGTGATGAGCAGCATGAAAGAGGAAGCAGCCAGCCAACGTATCCACAATTCGTCGGAGATGTCGGTTATATTGCACCTAATGAGGGAGAGTGGGAAGGGGGTCTAAGAGAAAATGAGGGAGATGATGATTCTGAGGCCACCCTATCCCAGCCATATTATTCACATATCGAGTCCCAACAGCAACAGTGTAGGGATGAGCACAACAATGCAGGTGAGCATGAAGGATAGACAAGCTTCGGGGATTTTGGATTGGGAATACAACAAAATACTAACACTCAGGGATTTGGGAATAGTCAGACGCCTGCTAATATCGATGATTCGTTTTTAGATCGAATCAATGAATTGTCAAACGAATTCAATCAATGGCACCAGCGTGACCAAGAAGAACAACAACGTCGTCTATCATTTTATTTTTAGATCGTATATTACTGATTTTATGCTTTATTGTTGTCCATGTATGTTGATATACTTAGTCCATGATGATTCTATATTTATCCTTTTGTGTGATGTAAATTAAATGCTGAATAGTAATTCATGCAGGGAAAGAACATATCAATATTCGTATATTCATGCAAAAACATGAAAATTTTTAATGAAGTACCCTCATTTCTTATTGAATTCCTAAAAAAACAATATTTATAATGAATTTTAATAATTTTTTCGGATTTTTTTGAAGCTTTATTCTGACCGAATTACCCAATTTTCGATCCAAATTGCCGATTCGTCGATCCATATCGTTTTTTTGAATGCCTGATCAGGGTCACCGATCCGCTTTTATAAACCATTGCCAGAAAGTATATAGCAGGTTGAGCCAATACTCTTGATTACTCTGACACATCGAACTGGTGGCTGCTTTCGAAGTGTTCTCCAACTCCACGTCGTAGAATTGAACAAAACCATAGAAGCGAACGAAGCGTATCTTATGCTATAGAAACATGCCAAGATCTTGAAATTCCGAGTAATGGGGTCGAAATGGAACCCAAAAACATTAGACAAATGAGATAGACCTGCAATAGGATCTGGTATAGTGGCCACTTTTTTTCGAAGTAGAGGGTTCCCGAGGACAAAGTCGGTGGTATTGCAGCCATGGTAGCACAGGATTCCATTGCTTGAGGATATCCGTGAACTTTTTTCTGGCTGAAAAGCTGCGATTCTGTAGCTGAAAGGATCAGCGAAATCGACATCGCATACCAAGTACATGTGAGAAGCAAGTTTATCAGGGATTGAAGCACGGCTATAGGTAACAAACAGAGCCACAGGCGAATGGAGGGTGAGGGAATGGATTCGGCCAAAAAATGAGGAGGATATAAGCTCCTCCCACGATGATGACACCATCTTCAGCCTGTATAAGCCTTCCGCCGGCAATGGTGCCAGGATCTTGATCATCACATTGCCAGGAAGGACCGAAGAGAGAGATCCCATTCTCCACCTCTCTCTCTGTTACTTCAGATGAAGTTATGGCAAGCTTTGGAGCTTCTCTCTCTAACCAAGAGGAGCAACCTTGGAGCTTCTCTCTCTAACGAAGAGGAAGATGTTTTCAGATGAAGTTACAGCAAGCTTTGAAAGAGGTTTTCAGATGAAGTTACAGCAAGCTTTGGAGGTTCTCTCTCTAACCAAGAGGAGAGAGCTTTGGAGCTTCTCTCTCTAACCAAGAGGAAGAGGTTGAAGGGGACTGAGAAGACGCTAAAGAAGACTAAAACCAGGTCACAGATTTAACTTCAAAAAAAAAAAAAGGGAAAGAGTGGTTTCAAGGAAAGTAAGTGGAGGGGTAAACTCTAGGTCTAAATATGCCAAAAGAAAAAATTACAAAAATCTCTCAAAATCATATATCTTAATAACGACTCCAATCAAGTTTTTTTTCAGCACTTTTTACTCTAAATCTAATTTTCCAAATTCCCCCATTCAAAAATAGATAAAAGCAAAAGTTACAAAAACCCCCGAGAGTATATAGTTTCTCTAAAACTTATCCCCAACCTAACTTTTCTCTCCTCTACCCCACCAAAATAGGGCTCACGGCTCGATACTAGAACAATTTGGAGTCACACTGCTCCGGCACAGTATAAATGTGGTTCAGCAATAAAACTTCTCAAGTCACAGGGCTTCAGAAGTTGCAAAGGGCGGTCCGACAGTAAATACTTTGGAGTTTCATGGCTCCAACACTGTGTAAGTGCGGTCTGGCAATAAAAATTCTAGAGTTACAGCGATCCGGCAGTTGCAAAGGTTGGTTCGGCAGCATATGTTATTAGATTCCAGGGCTCCGATACTATGTAAATGGCAGTTCGGGAGTACTTAAATTCGGT